TGCTCCTATATGTTCTATACGCAGCAGCATATATAACAGCATAAATAACAACATAATCTATCAACTTAAGGTGGTGCGATATAGGCGATAGGCTTAACTGTGGCGTCTAGGTATTAGAATAACTCTAATTCAGTTTGGCTGCAGATGATGTTAGTGTTACGACCCGTTATGTATGGATAACAGTTGACCGACCCACTTGGGCATCGGGCGGCTAGGATAAGACATTTGTACTGCAGGATCACGGGAACAACAGGGACTCACTCGGAACGGAAAAACTATGGTACAGGTCACGTGACGATAAGAAGGACCGACGAGAGATAAGCGGTCCTGACCTAGGACCGACATAAAGAAAGCGGTCCACACCTGGGGACCGCTCGGAAGACATCGGTCCTCAGTTTAAAGAAACTACCCTAGACTTGTATATAGTATGACCCTGAGCCTGGCTCATGGTCAAACTTCTATAGCTCTTCAGCAATCAACTTAGTATTCATCCTCACAGATACTCTCAGCTTACCTTCACTGCGGATCACTTGTTGAGTCTAAGACTGATCACCTTAGCCTCTGAAGACCTGATCTACTACAGCCTACGAACTACGACCTACAACCACGACCCAGTGTACCGTTAGAACGTATCAATCCCCAGCTTCTGTTAGCAGACCCTACTGTCAGATAGCTGACCGTAACAGTTAGCTATATTACCGCTTAATCTAGCGACTCCTGCCCTAGCCTTAGTAGTGATTAAATAATAGTGATTATATAAATATGCTATGACTTTATTAGCTACTACTGCATACTTATATAATATATATATCAAAATAGAATACTATATATCATAAATAAATAGCTTTATCTTTAGCTATATATATTAATTACTTTCTTCTATCTACTATTTACAACTGATTCCTCTTATCCTCTCTTTATAAACTCACCTTCCTACCCCTTAATTCTATATACTTTCTCTTTGATCTACTTTCCTCCCTACCTATATTCCATCGCTTAGTTAGGTTCTCTAGCCTAGCTGGTAGCCCTGTTATATAATTAGCTGGTTAATGCGGGGACTAGGACGACATCATAAAAACGTCTACTACCCTATTCACCTATTTTTGGACTTATATTACTGAATACGACACTGAAAACTGGATTCCTATAATTACCTGGATTGTGGCTTTAATTTCATCCTACTTTCATGTATTTTACTGCTGGAAACCTCAACGGCTTCTTCACTGCTATAAACAACAGCTTTGACCCCCCCTCTCCCTGGCCCCACTTTCAATTCTGGTGGTGGTCACAACGGCTTTGACTTCAAGCCATCGCCCACGTAATGTTAGGCCTAGCTGCAGTGAGAGCTGTCGCCTTAGTATAATAAATCAAAGACCTCTAAGATAACGCACGTAAAGAACTTAAATTTATATAATAAAGAATAACTAAATTCAGCAATAAGCAAAGGATTGAGGGACCAACCTTAAAAGAGGGAGATAGCGCCTACCTCATATAGCAAAACATCAAAACAAAACAACTAAATAACAAACTGGACTTCAAAAAACTCAGACCTTTCAAAATCTCATAAATTATTTCACTAGTTAACTATAAACTTAAACTCCTAGAGACTATGAAATGCTACTTAGTATTCTATATCTCACTTCTTAAGCCAGCCCTATAAGGTTTATAAATAAATAACCTTATTATTATGGAAGATAATAAACCAGAGTATAAAGTAGAACGAATCATAGACCACCTTAAGGAGCTAGAAGGGTATTAATACCTCGTTAAATAGAAAGGATATAGATATAAAGATAACATATAGGAACCAGCTAAAAACATCACTAATATAGCAGAAGAACTTATAATCTACTAGCAATAATATTAAGAATAAGAAGTTATATTAGCACCTATTATACTAGCCTAAAAAGAACGCTAGATATAAGCAAATTAAGCACCTATATCACTTCACTAAACCACCTACTAAAGCAGATCAACTGCAATAAGGAAAACCATTTATTCGCCTAGGAACGCTAGAATATAACTAAGACTTCCCTAACAGAAAACTCAGAGTACTAAGATTCTAATCACCTAAGACAGCATCTAGGTCTACCACACTAAAACCCCCTATAGACTAAACCTCTAATATAGGTGCCACTACTAATTCCTCCTCAGTAACCTCCTAACCCTTTTAGAACACTATCCTCTTCTGCTTATACAAATAATCTAACTTCCCCATAGATTTATCTAACTCAGCCTGCGCTACATATAAAGCAGTAACTTTCTTTCTCAACACCTCCTCTTCAGCTACCTCCATATCTTCTAGATAAGCAGCCTCATCTAATAAATACTTAACTATAATTAATCAGTAAGGCCTATAAAGCATAACAATCTTGAAGAACTTATAAGTGTAAACAGCATCTGCTACTATATTATAAGACTGCCCTAGATAAGTATATTCACTATAAACTTCACCACTAGGAAGCAACTTGCAACGCTTACCTGAAGAATAACAGTAGGAATAAGGCATATCAATAATAAAACCAAACTCAGCAATATATAGCGTATAATTATAATGATGAAGAGTAGAGGCAGAATTTGATTTTAACTTTTAAATATAACCTAATATAATATTAGTATTATAAGTAAATTAAGAAGCATAATTAATAGATCTCTAACCTAGGACTAATAACCTACTTATATTAGGTCTTAAGGATAAGACCTTTAGAGAGGGGACCTGATGTTACAACCTGTTATGTATGGATAACAGTTGACCGACCTACTTAGGCGTTAGGCGGCTAGAACAGGATATTTATACTCTGCAGGATCACAGGAATAATAGGGACTTACTTAGAAACAGAAGAACTATAATATAAGTCATATAATAATAAGATAAGGATATAATTAGTGGAGCGCATAAGGAAATGCTTAGTAATCAGTTAGTTAGACTAACTAATTATAATCACCTCATATACCTAGGTGATCACCCTAGGTAGATAAAGGATACTATTTAGGACTAGTATATAGTATAACCTAATCCTAGCTTATGGTCAGACTTCTATAGCTCTTCAGCAATTAACTTAGTATTCATCCTCATAGAGACTCTCAGCTTACCTTCACTGTAAATTACTTGTTGAGTCTAAGACTAATCACCTTAGCCTCTGAAGACCTGATCTACTATCAGCCTACGACCTACGACCCAGACCACGACCCCATGTACTGTTATAACGTGTCAATCCCCAGCTTCTGTTAGCAGACCCTGCTGTCGGATAGCTGACCGTAACAACCTACTACTCTTCATTCAAGTTTACAAACCATCAGTCAGAAGAACAGGTTTCATTTTGGAACTCGTTAAGGTTTCATTTCGGAACGCGTTGAGATTTCAATTAAAGGTGGAGACACTGAAGTCAATGCCGGCCAATCAGAGACCCTAGGGAACGCGTCGAGATTTCTAAGTCGGGCAGGGGGTGATGGGTGGGGCTCTGGATGGGTCGGGCCAATGGCTGTACACGGACGGCCGTATCTCGACGCGTTCCGGCATGGAATAACTGAGTAGGCAGTGTCCAGATGCGAGCGGCCTTTGAGAGCTTGGCAGAGCGCGTGTTGACGACGAAGTGTTTGTCCGGGATTAGCCTGGTCAGAGTATTGATTACTGGATTGGAAAGGTATGCCCGAATGTGGATGGGGTCGAGTTGATGTTCTTCCGCAACATGCGTCTCGTAATGGCGCAAACGATCATAAATGTCGTTGGCTTTCTCGGTATCATGTGCCAAGGCTAAACAACAAGAAATGATGTCGTCTGCGAGGGTTTTGTCGATATCCATCGATGTAGGTGTTGACGGCATGTTGGGCGTTGTTCAAGTTGGGGCGTGGGGTCGCGGAAGCGTGTAGACCAAGGGACCATAAGGTAGGTAAGGTAGGAGGTAGGTAGGTGCCTGCCCTACCTACCTACCTTGGGTATCTTTGGTAAAGAAAGGAAGGACGCGGCTTCCACCTCATGTTTGTACGACAGCGGCGGCAGGAGCAACCTTGAACTGCCCGGGCTTATCTAAGGTAAGGAAGGTCCAGGTCGAAATTGCCCTTGCGACGTCACAAGACTGTTGTTTCGCGCCGAGCACTGGGTTTCCTCCAAGCACAGCAGCCCGCCAGGCCTCAACACCTGGGCGATGGACTCTCCCGATATCATCCATGACACTAGGACATCGCACAGTGCATTCATCAACCAGCAGACTTCGGCAAAAGGTGGCCGCTTGCCATTCAATCCGCACTTGCCGGGGCTATCTCACACCTGCAGCATCGGGCCTGGCAGCTGTGGCAGGCACAAGCTCACCAAAGCCATACTCGCGCAGCCTTTGCTGACGCTCACCGCACCGGGAAGCCGACACTCATGTCTCGAGTGTACCACGCGCTGGAGATGACGGCGTTGCAACTGAGAGTCGCGCCAGCACCCGCTCGAGTCGACTTCAATGTCTTCCGGAACCCCCTTGGGTCAGGTCAGCATTATGGGGCTTTCCAAGATGCGCCCCTGGAGGACTTACCTCGGGAAGAGGCCCCGTCACCAAAGGCCTTCGCAGAGCGGTAGCACTACACTTGAGCTTCGCTTCCAGCCGAGCAGCGGAAGGAAGTGCGGGACGGAATTCCCACGCTGGATGGATTAGGCGTGGTCTTACGAGCAGTTGAAACGCAACATCCATTCCTCCGCCTGCCAGCTCACAGCTCTTCCAATGTGTGAGTCTCTGGGCGCCGGGATCATGCGTCTAATGCTGAGCCGACACGCATAATGGATGCTGCCGGGACCCCGCGGACCTCGCAGCGGAAGTATCGCGCTTCAGCCCAAGGAATGAACAGTGGTCCGATATCACTTGTGCATTGCAGCCTCGACCCACCTACCAGAATCTGCCAGTATCTGCCACTCCATACCAGCATTTTGAGGGACTCGTGCTTCAGTTCCACGATGACTCGTGTGTTGAAAGCCAAGCTAGAGAGGCCTGTTGGACATGTCTTAGTAGATGTCTCAAAGATCATGAATGTGCTGGGCCTGCTCGATCGGCATACCGACGCTGCTGCTGATGCGCAACCTCATACGTCGCGAGCAAAGTAAACAAAAAGCCGAGGAACACAATGCTACGGCACGAAGATTGCCAGGAAGACTACGGCATACGTTATCTAGTCCGGGTGTCAGATGGATCCGAGTGGCGAAAGCCGTGGAGAGGAAGCGCGAACAATCGTGGGACCCCTTTCACGATGACGGCGAATTGTGGTCCAAGCTAGCCAGGGACACCTCGAAACCCGACCTGGATTGTCCGCACTGGACGCCATCTACTACTGGGTATCGTAGGCGCCGATCGCTTGACCGCTGCCGCTCGCCAATTCCCACTGACCCTGGCTACAACGCGCGTATTGCTCGCCCCAGGTTGCCAGCCTTTGCTGCCGCTTGACCGTAGGAGTGCGGCCGTACAGTGGGGGGTTGCGGGTGAGAGTTGTCTCGGTAATTGGACAATGGGGACGAGAAGCTGGTGTCGGTATGCGGCTTCTGGAGGCGCGTGTCTGGGGCGGTGCGGTACCGGAGGATATCAACGAGGCCGAGACCAATGGCGACTCGAGCAAGTCTAGATCATGTGCCGTCGCCGGTGTTATGAATCGGAAGCCGCTCGAAGAGGGATTCCACATGGGATGTGGCGTGGCTTGAGTCCAATCGGACGACAACATGGCCGCTCTTTGATATGGACGCGGGGCGATGTTGAAGGTGAATTGGGAGACGTCTCGACAGGGCGCAGCAACTCGGCGTCCGAATCAGAGGGCGGGATGGCGACGGTCAGGCCTTGACGTCAGTGCAGAGATCCGAGCATGTTATGTAGACATGACTGAGCAACCGGGTGAAGGTAGCAGTCGTGTTGGTCGGGGGCAGCTGTCCCAGGAGAATGCGATAGGGTCTGTCGACGATGTCTCTGCACGGTGAAAATGACGGGTACAAGGGCGGCTTGGTGGTGCTGAAGGAGGACGACCAGGCCGTCGAAGAGATTCAGTGGTGACTGAAAGATGCGGAGGGAAGAAGCCCGAAAGTCGAGTCGAGGTGGAGGAAGGGGCGAGTTGTCGTCATAAGGAATCGAAGGTGCGGCACAGTCACGAGCTGCAAGACTTGAGTTGAAAGTCAGGATGATGAAGATGGAGGGCCAAGTCAGGAGGGGTGTCGGATGTCAGGTGTCGGGGGCGGTTCGACTTGGCTGCAGACTCGAAGCCTAGGCCAATATCGCAGCCACCAGCATCTCCAACGGGATCGTGTCTGCTCCGAAGTCTGCGTCGCAAGCAGATGGTGGACCGAAGGGTGAAGCATTCGGGATGCGGTGTCGGCGTCGCTCTGGAGGGATCTGAGGAGGTCAACGGAGGCGTTCTCCAACGTCGTCATACTACCCAAACCTCTGCAGAGTGGATGCCAGTCGCGGAGGCGCAGCGACGGTGGCAGCCGTCGCGAGCCGGATGGATGCTTCAGGTTTCCGAAAGGGATGATGCAGTGCAATGGCTTCCAATAATGTATCGCCATGTCGCAGGCTCGGGAGGGGGGGCATGTGTCGTCGGTGACGTCGGGTTGTACGGCGGTGATAGCCTCGAGGAGGTCGGCGGGGGGCCAGTCGAGGGGGAGATTCAGCGGCTCCCAAGAGTGGAGTACCCTGCTCATCTCTTGGTCAATCAGCGGTGTGGGTTGAATTATCTTACGACCTGCACAGACCTCAAGACCCAATGATTGGTCGGATGTTGTGATGGCGCAGTGGCCTGTGTGGGGCCTCCAGCCTAGAACGAAGCCATCCCATTGGCTGGATCCCTTCCAGTTTCCGTTTCCAAGATGGAGGGAGACACCCTTCGCAGTGCACGTAGCGCTTCAATCGGGCGCGCGCGACGAAGGATTCAATCGGGCATGCGATTAGGGCTTCAATTGAGCGTACAACGAAGTAGCCGGATTATCTGGCGAGTGCGCTGGCGAGTACTCAGCCTGGTGCATTCCCACAACGCAACGCTAGTACTTTAAGAATTGCGTGCACGCACCTGTCCGACCCTACACCCAGGCCACATGGGTCGGCCCATAAAACCACCTGGCTCCGGCGCCATCACATGGCGGACGGGTGCACAGGCCAGGTACTCTCATCAGTATGAGGATGCACGAAAAAAGACAAGTATCCTCTAGCTGTCAATCCAGCAACATGCCAGGGCATCAGTTGGGAACCTGCCGCCATGTACCTTATTGTCGCAAGTCAATCCAAATGCTCATCCCATCATCATCCAATATTTGCGCACCCAGCTCTTCAATTGCATAGCATGATTCCTTGGTGGCAGGGGGAGGTGAGATTCAGTTGTCAGGTTTATGCGGAATTTTGCATAATCTTACTCCGAGGTGTTCATCCTGGGTGCTGAATCCGACTATCTCTTTGTCATCCCGTCACGTGCCTCCAGCCACAGCTGTGCACAGACCAGTGCGGTGGTTCACCATGGCAACAAAGAGGCAAAGGCGTCAACAAAAGACGACTGAAAGATGGCGTGCATCCTTCCAGCGACAACCTCACCCTCACCACCCAAGTTCATGCGCATACAGTCGCTCACCCATCGTCACACTCGCCCACGATGCACAATTTCGAGCCGACTCTTGCCCGCGTGGGCATCGCAATTCGAGACTTGAAAGCAACGAGACCTACAGATACCCAAGCCTTCCTCGAGCGACATTCCATTCAGTATACAACCTCAAGCAACCCCGCCACAACTTCAGAGGCTGCATCCCATCATCCCCCATGGGTCTCATCTCCGCTGAACATCGCGTATCTCGATACTGAAATCGAAAAGCTTGCACCGAAACCAAGCAACGGCGCTCCCAGCACCATCAACCACATCCTCAGGCCCCCTAAAGATGTTCGGCCCTCGGAGGGCGCACCATCGTTCAGCGCGACAGAATGGGCAGAGGCTTTCCGGGACACCGTTAGATGTCTCTCGCGGCAGCTGCCTCGCGGTGGTGAAGGTCCCAATGTGCTGCCGGCCCAAGCATTCGCCCGGCCCCGATTCCCGGATACAAACAGCCCATGGGAGAACCTTCTGGTCATCGGCGCCGACGAGTCGCCCGCGTGGGAGATGATAGCTGTTCTCGAGACTGACCATCATCACGTTGGCTGTCTTGTGGCCGACCAAACACCGCCAGATGAGCACTCACGAGACGAGGTCCTGCGCAGCGAGCTCTTCAGCATGCTTGTCCTCCTTCACTGGCGACTCAACCTGCTCAGGAAGCCTGGCAGTGGCGGCCATGATCCCTCGGTACGTCATCTTCCTGCTGTTTGCTTTCATCAGCAACGAATTGTAGCTAACACGACTCTGGTTCTAGGTTACGGTAGCGACGTTTACGAGAGCCCGCGTTCGCATCAGTCAAGCCTACATCGACTCGTCCGATACCGACAAACCCATTCTTCGAGTCGTCAACCGCTTGGACAAGTCTCTCAGGGATTTGACTGGCGAAAGTGACGCAGCCAGAACATGCTGGCTTGATGTCCTGTCATGGCTCTGCTTCACTCCGACCGAAAGCGACAACATACGGGTAGAAAAGCAAGGGAAATCTGGTCACCGCTGGCAGCTCGAACAGCACGCGAAGGATCGGGTGGTCTCCAGATTGAGCGATTCTTCTGGCACAAGCGACACGGGCAGCAGCGGTAGCAGCAAGCCCCAACATGATGAGGCCGCATCCCCGGCATCATCGGCCCCAGGCTCGCCTCGTATTGACGCGAAAGGAAATCAAGACTGAGAGCTTTCGGCAGTTTCGCATCAGGCTGGTGGTCTTTGATGGGTGGACGTCAATTGCTGGGATTTGGAGACGCTGTGTTGCTCGGAACGAGCGAGTTGTTACGCCTGTGACCACGAGACGACTCGGGGTATGAAGCGGCAGGTGGGTCGGAGTTAAGGCTTTGTGATTCTTGCTTTGGAAGCACATCATGATACCCAGTTTTGAAGGATTGCCTTTGGAGGTTTCGAAATGTTCGTTTACGCCTTTGTACTTTGGTCAGCTAATTCCAGGCAAGGCGACCGACGCTTGCTCTGAGACATGTGCACCATGTTCAGCTCTTTCGGTGTTAGTCGGCATTGTTGCGTCTGCCACAGACAGAGATTACGTAATACGATGCAGGGTTCCGCGCTGGCGATCCAATGTCTGAACAATTTGTTGCTGGCTTAATATTTACGGATAATTACATTAACCCCTCAGTCCCCACGCAACCCCACGATCAAGATCGCGCCAGCAACAAACAGGAAGAACGAACGCCGGCTGCCTATCTCGAGCCTCGTATCTCGGCCATACTCACGGCGACAACACCACGCAGGGCACAACAAGCCCAGGATGCGACTCCCGGACACCGTTCACGCCTGGCAGTGCGAGGTCCGGGCAGAGGGCATCGCAAACGCGAAGCTGGGCGATATCAAAGCTGATGGGCATTTCTCTGGTTCCACGATTCCCCACAGAGCCTTTCTCCAACTCCGCGCTGTCTGGCTTGAGCCGAAGGAGGGCGCAGCTGCTCCAGCCGACCTCGAGACCGCCGGCTTCTTCAACCGCACCGACAGAGATCTGGCCACATCCTGTCTCGACGCGAACCATTCGCGGTTTGGAAACTTCATCGCCACAGTGGAAGCATCTAACCATGACCGACGTCCTCAAGACCCGTTTCCGGTGACTCCATCGCTGGGCAAGGCCAGGCTGGGATCTCCCTCCCAGGCGGACGACCTGGGCATGTTCGGGCCTGCCTTTACGTCGTGGCAGCGGTTGAAGCCCATCGGCAAGACTCAAGGTCCGCCTAAGGGAATGCCGAACTTCACACCGAAAGTCACGATAAGATTTGAATCCACGCTTCAAGAAAACCTCTTGCTGCAGCCGGTATCCCGTTTGGACTTGACCGGAGCCAAGTCGCAGCTGCCACCACAGAATGCAGAGGATCTCATCGAAGACATTTTTGCAAGCATGTCTTTGAGCGAAACCAGTTTCGACATTGACACTCCGTCCAAGCCCCCACGAGGTGGCAGGCCAGGCGCAACAGGTCAACGAGAACAGCCGGTTCCAGCGATGCCAGCGATGGAGGGCGGAGACCCAGCAGAGCCCCCGAACGAGAGGGTGGACGCTGTTCCAGTGCTTGAGCTCGCAGACTCGGATGCGCCTGCGCCCCTCGTTCGCCTCCTCAGGACAGAGTATGAAGTGCAGACGTCCCATTTCTTTGTCACGTATGCCGACACGCTTCTCGGCCACGCCCTCTCGATATCGTTTTCAAACCACCTGTCCATCGTGCCGGAAGAGCAACGGTATGGATTCGGCAAGGCCGCCATCCCGCCCGTCCGAGAAGGGGAGGCAGCCGCGCCGTCATCGTCCGGGACTGGAAAAAAAAGACCGTATCTATTCGTGGCCTGCCCCGATGGTGCCGCCTACGTCAACCTAGGCCCCAGGCTCCGAAAGGCATTTTTGCACTTTGAGCTAAAACCGTTCCGCAGAGATGGGTCAGCGAAAGCATTGAATATTTGCCGTGAGGAGACGGCCGAGATGGCGGCTATTTTTTACCAGGAATACTGTAGCGACCAGGCCGACAAACCGTAAGTCCACATGTCTTGATCTACTTCCTCTCCTGATCCCTCCTTGTCCATGTCAACAAAGAGGCCTCCTCAGCCTTGACAAACACGAGGCGAAGATGATGTGGCTCTGCCCACATCTGTGCATGCATCATTTCCCCACGCGTGTGTCGACCTTGTGTAGATGGTGATGACTGATGATTCGGCGCCGCCAGCTGGATGTAGACCTGAAGAGAAGCCAGTGCGTCGGATGATGTTGTCTCTGGACCAGGATGAGTATTGGCTAATCGTGGCAACCGTCGGGGCGAGGTACCTCGACTACATAAAGAACATGGAAGCGACCGCCGTGACGCCTGGCGATGTAGACATGGTACTAGACGACTTCGTTCAGTTCCAGCCATACGGTCCATTTCGCATGGGAAGCTCTCAAGCCATGGGATACGTGAATCTTGTCGTCACGGCCAGCGCATTGTCCCAGTTGGGAAACACTGAGACGGGACGGAGTTTGCGGAGTCGCCTAAATGTAGATACCGCAGGCTTGCGCTGATGATACAGACAGTCAAGGGGCGCCGTTGCGGGTTCCGGGCAAAACGAGCAGCAGGAGCCGAGAATGGTGGTTGGGCGGTTGGTTGGGTGGTTGAGTGGTTGGAGGATGAGTTGGCCCATGCTTGTTGTGCTTATGTAACGGCCTGATGCAGGTCGAAAAATAATACATCCGTGCACTCGGCCGAATCTGTCGAGTCAGGTCAGGTGACTTGGGGGCGGCGCTCGGCGCCAACGTCCAATTGAACGACTCCGGTGACAATCATCAGGCAGCCATCACACGCTGGCGAACGCGGGGCGGTTGACTCTCAGTGGGGACCACTCAGAACAGGGGTGGCACCACAGGGCAGAAGTACTGTGAGGTACCTTACTGCAGGAGGTGGGTGAGCATTAGCGAGCATTGGCGGCTTACCTAAGGTGGACCTCATGACCTTAACGCCGAAAACATAAGGTTGAGGTACCTGTGGGAGGCACTTCTCAAATGTGGTGCTTGCGCCTTGGGCCTGGGACGAATGCCCTTTGGTACCTGGATCTCTGCGTTCATCATGGCTGGGACTTCGGCCCCGACATCTTCCACACGATTCACCTTGCGAGGAAGGCTTTCACCACACCGCACGACACCATCACTCTCCCCCAGCTACCCCGCAGGCCAGCATAAGGCTCGCTGGCGAAATCGAGCATTACAGCCAAAGCACCAACTCAGAAGATGCGTGCTCCCCCCTTTGTGAGGCGCGCGCTGCCCTTACGTAAGTTACTAGGTGGGGAGACTCATACTATTCTAAGTATAAGCTACGTCACGCAGCGTTTAACTATATCCCTTTATAAGGGATTAAATAACCTTTAGTAATATAATATAGGTATAAATGCCTATACTTCTTAATAATCTAAATATTAATAAGGGATAAGGGAATCTATTCTCTTAGCTACTAATAATATTTTTTATATTAATAAACTAGTATATTCCTTTATAACAGCTCTTATTAATATATAGATTTACACCTTCTATAGTACTTAAAGTTAGTCTTTTTACTTTTAAAGCTTTAGTTTTTTACTTATATATATTTAGCTTTATTTAAAGCTTTTTAAAATATCTAATAGCTTTATAATTATTTTTTATCCAATCAGCGGTGTGGGTCATACTATTTTACGACCTGCACAGACCTCGGGCAAGACCCAAGGAAGGCGGGAAACTACGAGTATGCTGCCTCCTGCCCATCTGGATCTTAGGCGGCACCCAGGCAATAACTGCTCCATCAGGACCTGGATGGACACCTGACACTTGTTCTGGAGCAGATGGCGGGGCACGCGCAGTCACATAAGGTAGGCAGCAAAGGTAGGTACCCACCCGCCTTACCGGGCAAAGTCTGACCGTGTCACAAGGTACCTTCCAGGTGGATACCTTGAGGGCATGGTCATACTTTTGGTGGTCAACGGTCAATGGCAGTCGCTGCCACCCGCAGCGGGGGGGACAAGTGTGCAGGGTGGAGTTGCTGCCCCAGGCAGACAGAGGCATGGTCATACTTTTCAGGCCTAAAAGTATGAGCAAGGGAAGAAAGAGGACGGGCAGGAACAAGAAAGAAGACGGAGTTGTCCCAGTCGCTGCCATCGCCCGGAGGATGCGCGCGTCTTGTGCGGCCTGCACTGGACTCCCGTCGGCGGGAGATCTCTCGGGCGGAGTATCTGCTGTGATATTCCACAGCGTCAGTGTCCCCCGCCTCCCGTCCCGTCACACTGGGCCCCGCCGCGCCACTTTGACCCTTGCAATTAAACACATGTGTGGCTCGCGACTGTTTGTCGTCCAAAATTGCACAACACTCCGCTTCCAAGGTCACTCAACGAGATGGGTTGCACAACAATTCAGGCGGAATGATGGAGGCGGTTTTCACAGATTGTATTCTTCGAGAGGCTGCTAGCTAAGGGAGGGCTGCTGGTGAAGTTTTGAGTCTTGGAAATGACGTCGGGTGTATCTGCGACTCCTGGATGCAAGCTAACCTCGGAAACGACAAACAAAGAAGCCCGACAAACGGCAGCGACGCGTCTCAGAAAATACGGGGTTCGTAGTCGTAGACTTGACTCGGATTGTCGATAGAAACCTCGAGATCAAGCTCGCCCTGTGTGTCATACAGCCGCAACACGACTTGCATTCCGTTCCGCATGAAGACGGCGACTCGGCCCAAGCCGATGCTGTCGACGACGGGGCGTCCGACCCACCAGGGAACGGCCCGTCCCTCCAACACGCGAATGGCTGAAAGCCAAGTACAGACGATCATGGCTGTGGCCTCCGTGGCGCTGCGGTCCATCTGCTCCGCAACTTGGCCAACGGTCAGAGGACCGTATATGGTCTGCAGAAACAAAGCCAGGGCACGCGCCTCATTCTCGGTCCACAACGGGATCTGGAAGGATGGTATTTAGTCAGCGGGGTTGCTTGGAGAGGATGACATGTCGCTTGCTTACGGGATCTGGCTGTGGGGTGCTGACACGAGACTCGCGCTCGGACTCATCTCCGTGGTTGTTGTCCTCGCCGGGTCGACTGGCGACGATGGGAAGGCCGGGGGTTGCCGAATCGAGCAAAGGATCGTCGGGCTCGAGAAGGTCATTGGCCACAACAAATTCGACAAGAGATTGGGCGTCGTGGTCCTCGTTGTCTTCAACAAGCTTGGAGAAGTGGTCGAGAGTCGGAAGCATCATGCTATCGTCACGGTCATCGTCATCCGCCTCCAGATGGATGTGGATTGGAGGGGAGGATGGCGGCTGCACCTGTGCAGTGGTGTGGGGCAGGTCCATCTCGACGTCACGACTGTGATTGTTGTCGGGTGCAGAGTGCTCTTAAAAATCTCAAGTTGAGGGCAGGAAGGAGTGGAGCCGCCCAAGGTCAGCGAGCGCCCGGGCATCCCGTCTACTTTGGCGTGTTTGGGTAAGTTTGGGTAAGGTAGGTACGGAGCAGGTGCCTTACTGGACGGAGACGGAACCTGGAAGGAAGAACGCAGCAGCAGGGCTCTGCTGGAGACACATCCCTGCCTCCGAAAGACGTCCGGGTATCCCATGCGCCGCACCTACCCTAATGGTGACCCTGATAGTGCACCGTAAGGTAGGTACCGATAGGGTGTCCCTGTCCTCAGAACCAATATAGATGGCGCTCCCCCCCCCAGCCCCTGCTGTCTCTGCCCACAATCATGATTCCATGGAATCTGCCCGAATCCACGTCCCAACTTCACCAACGTCCCGACTTCACCAACACCCCAACATCCCAATCACCAACAATCAACTCTTTCCTCCCTTCCAAGTCTTCTTCTTCGACTAACACAAACCTTCCAACAGCGGCCGAGGCGTCAGCCAACGTCAAGTCTTTCTTCCCTTCTAACTTTTCTTCTTCGCATTTTGCCGCCTGGAGGCGCACCTTGTTGACTCAGCCAACGTCAAGTCTTCCTCTTCGACAATGCATCTCTCTCCGGGACGACAAGACGAATTGACCAGACAGCTCCAGGCGGATCCTCAACGACAACTCAAGCGTAAGACAGACGCCAGTGAGATTTCTTCTTACCAGGAAATAGATCCGAAGCGTCCCCGGACAGGAACCCCCCAGTCTATGGCCCCTAAAACTATCACCTTTAACGAAATCTACCAAGATGGAAAGGCCGAGTTCAAGCACACAATCGTTAAGTTCGAAGACCTTGTGCGATAGAGGCTTCTCTGTGAGCCATCCTGGCCCTCGAATATTTCCCCGTGAGAGTCATACGGCAGTCAACAAAATCTACCAAGATGGAAAGGCCGAGTTCAAGCAAGGCTGAGTTCAAGCACACGATCGTCGAGTTCGGGACAGCAAAGAGAAGTTCAAATCCGAAGCGCCCCCGGACAGGAACCCCTCAGTCTACGGCACCCAGGTCGGAAGCCTGCTTACCCTTTCCTTCAGGGTTCCACAGTCGAGAGAGCAAACAACGACAGCTGCCTTTGACATCACCGTCGCAAAGTGTCTCACTCGCACGGATCTCACCACAGTCTGTCCTTGCTTAGGTATAACGTCTGATTGCTTCTTTTCTTCCTTTCTCTCCATCCAACAACAGACAGCTCCAAGCAAACATGGACGAGTACGAATACCTCCAGCTCACCTTCAACCAAATCTTTCTTCCCTTCTAAGTTTTTTTCTTCGCTGTTTGCCGCCTGGAGACGCACCTTGTTGACTGCTGGAACGAAAATCTACCAAGATGCGGCCGAGTTCAAGCACACGATCGTTGAGTTCGAGGATATTTTCTACATTCTGAAGTAAGTGGCAAAAACAAAAGGTCATCGAAAAGAAAACTGACAACTGGCTAGGCTGGCTCCATTGCGAAAAGTCCATGTCGGCAGTCGGCTCAGACATCTTGACTTACGGCCACGGCTTGGAGTATTTCCCCTGTTGGGTCGGCTTTTCGATCTCTCAGAAGGCTGGCGATCGACGGGGCAGTCGAGCGTGTATAGGTTGATGCGGATCTTGGTTCAGAGAATTGGGCCACAGTTGAGAGCGAGCCTGCACGACCTCAGTGTGCTGGGGGCCTAGCCCATGGGGAACGGTAATAAACGAATGGATCCTTCCCTTTACCTCTGTATCCAGGCCGTAGTGTAAAACAAGATGACAGTCGAGTGTTTCTACCGCGCGCCTTAGCCAACCGTTGCACCACTGTGTTTGAAGTTCTGCGTAGACGGCGTTCATGGTTGGTTGGTGTGGAGGGCGCAGCGCCGCTGCCCTGGCGCCCGCCCGGACGGGCGCTCCGCCTTGTCTCCCCGCAGACCCCTTCCTTCGAACCATGTACGTGTGTACTACGCCGTCTCCAGCACAGGAACAGGTAGCCCGGGCTGAACCACTCTTTGCCTAAGATCCCCGCTCGGCGTGACGACACATGCAGATGTATGCCTATACAAATACTTTCCCACAACTGTAGCCTCGCTTGCTTCGGAACACACCACCCCAACCCTCAGCTCCTGTAGCCCATGGTACGCTTCGTTCGACTCTATTATTATCTCTATAGGTACACAGAGCCATTATGTCCGCCTTTAGTCGCGTTGAGTTCGGGCGCCTGACATGAAGCTGGGGCAAAGGCACGAGCTTCGTTCCGCACCCGTCGTGCAGTGTCATGAACGATCCTGACTGTTCGAGGAGTTTCCGCTCTTGCGGGTTCGTAGACAGGAAAAACAGTGAAAGCCTGGCTTGTTCCATGTTGGCGTTACCTCGGTGAAAAACGCAACGTCCTTGCGTTGTGCTACCACGATGGACCCAGAGCATTTCACACGGCGCGTCTACGACGGTTCGGAAGTGAAGGAAGGTCACGCGGTGGTGTCGGTGAGGTTCGAGCCGTTCGGCCCGCGTCACAAGCTGGAGACTGTCACGGTGGAGTCGACCGACGACGATTACTCCTCGGGCTGTAGACACCATGCAGGGTGTTTCGGCTATATGTGTACCGCACCTCAGGGCAACCTCCTTCCTCCCCACGCCTTGTCCGTGAGAGTAGGACCCATAAGTACAGAGTACCTTCAGGCGGCGTCAATGGCGTTCGATCGAGACCCGGACGCGTACAAGGACGCGCTTAAACGTACCAAATACACCCAGCGTGGCCATATGAGAGCGATAATGAGCACGCCTGTGGCCGGCAGCTCAAGGCTTGTGGCTGTGCCGCAAGTGCATCTTCCGCGTAACTATGTGTGCATAGCCAAGGAACTCGCAGAAACGACTGTATTCTGTGTCCACGAAAAAGACACTGATGGAAAGTATACAGGCAAGATGGTGGAGCGATGCCTCCAAGAAGGCGACTACGTAATGCTTGTTCGTCCTCCCTCCCTTACGTGGCTGAGCACACAGCCTATGAAAGTGAGTATATGGGACAGACCCTGCGTAGGCATAAAGCCTGAAGCGTTCACGGGGTTTCACGGTGACTTCGACGGGGACGAGGCCCATTGCTACCCCCTTTCGTCTGAGGGGTCTTTGTGGGAGGCGTCTAACTGGGTTGTGCCAGAACTGAGCAAGTTCAGCGAAGGCAGAAAGATGATGCGCGACCTCGGCCTGAGCCCGGACACAGACATGCCCGAAGACCACGCGTGCTTTGTAGAGTTCACGACTCTGAGCTCCAAGCAGCTGAAGGATGGAGACTGCGGCTTGTACTTTGGAGAGCAGTCAAGAAACCCTAAAGTGTGCGTCCAAGGTACGTCGGACAGATTCAACCGAGCTGGATTTCGTGTCCTAGTCGATACGTGGAACTATGAGTATACTCAGACAGCAGCTGTCTCAGCGCTCTATTGGAGAATTAACGAGGAACGCGAAGGTGGCGGCATCATGCTTTTACAGGTCGGAAGGTGGCAGTCTCTGCGTTCAGACAGCCGAGGGCACGGTGGTCCTTGCAAAGCCGGGTCCGGACCCAGGGTCGCCCTCTTTGAGAGCGGTGATGTTGTAGTGTTCTAAAGCGCAGCAGTCCGCTCTGGATGCTCACAGTGTAGGGTTGTCTGAAAGCAAGAGTTTCAACTTTATAGCCAACATGTTTAGGCCCCCAGAGAGCGTTCAGGCAGGACGCAAGGGGCCAACGTGCTGCATATTTAAGCAGTTATGCTACGCGAAGGCGAAGGCGGCGTCGTCATGATGCGCAAACGTGGATGGCACCCTGATGTGTCTTATAAGCCCTCAAAAGGTAACAGGAGTTAGAGTTGCCAGTGTTGTGGGTGCATATAATCCTCAAATTCTTGAGGAAGTGGCCGCTTCCAAACGTCACTATGTTTGCACGGAGGCGTTTAGATCGGTTATGGGGTTCTATGGCTGCGACTATTCTGAGCCTGAGGTGCATGACCTTGCACATATGTTCTCGTACCAGCTGGAAAAGTCGGAGTACCCCATTACTTCAAGGGAGGGAGCACTCTCAAGAGACATAGGGTGGGTAGATAAAGTTTTCATATGGTAGTTAATAAGGTGCGCCTCTAAGCAGCAAATTGTAAGAAAAGGTTAGAAGGGAAGAAAGATTTAGAACTGACTACAGCAAACTGGGTCACTATATAGAGAGTTTTAATGATAAACCTCAGACTATTACGTGCTTAATGTATCTCTCTAACTTCTCCAACTTAATGTCGAAGCACAATTAATCCATAAATCTCATCAACCTTAGACATATGTCTGAAGTCCCACCAAGGCCACACAGAACAATTATTCAATCATATTCCTCTCTTATGCTTTTCAAAACCTCCTTTGCTATAACATTAGATGCGTCCAAGGGTGATTCCCACATTATGCTTCTTATAGTTCTACCTCTAGTTAACTTATATGCGTAGCATTTAATACCATCTCTAGACGTAATGCTTGAGACGTCCTTCATAGTAACGTTTCTATTTATAACCTATATTAGCATCACCTCAAGGTGTCTAGATATTAAGTTTAGCTGCGGCTCAACCATAGTGTAGCTAAGGATAGATATGCATATGCTGACGCACATTTTATAGACTACTCCTATAGTGTTTCGTCTTACTGCAGAGACGCCTATATACTTTATCGTTCCATCTTCGTTCATCTTGCAGTAACTTTTCTTGTCTAGCAGTATAACTCTGGGATGGTAGCTCTCCATCTCCATGGTCATTTCCTGTAAGGGGGTATCCTCGAAATTCTTTCGCAAAGAGCTGAGTGCCTCGGAGACACAGCGGCGTGCACCCTCCTCAGACTTGTCACCAGCACTAGACGGGGACACAAAACACGAATTGGTATCGCCGTACAGAATGGAAAGACCGTGGCGTTCAAGAACTCTGTACGCCAGCTTGACGCACCACCTTCCAATAGCTGTTACTGATGCAAAGCACAACGGACTGTACAAGAGAATCCAGATCCACGTCCTTGCTTATGACCGGCATGTCTAGCTTGTGCGAGCACCCCGTCTCCTGCGAGACAGCCTTCAGAGATATCGCTGAGTATTGGCCTGGCCTGGCTCTCATCATGTAAGCAAGCCATGACGTCTATGTTGTAACACCCACGAATGTGGAGTATGCTGCCGTACCTCACCATCTTTGAGCTCCCAATGCGAACCTGCTCGAACATCCCGCTCATCTCGAAGTCATGGTACAACATGCACTGGTTATCGAACCCGTAGTTGTTCCACCCGATCGACCACAGTGGCATATGGGCTTTCGAAGCCTCCGTGAAGCATCGCACTGCCTCCGCGAACGTCGAACACTGCACCAGCTTGACTTCGTTGACGGAGGTCACCCCTCCTGTGTCTATGGTGAGAAATACGACCTTTAGTCCCAGGTGCAGCTACACGCTATAGATGGTATCGCGTTGTCGACCAGCGGAAACTCGCCGGCGGAGTTGCCACTGGCGTCAACTTCGATGTCGTATGACATGGTGCAAGCTCCTTCGACAGGCCTGTACTTCTGGAACCCTCCTGGCGTGCATGTTCGGCAAATGTTAAGCCCAAGGACCGACGCCAGTCTTATGTCGCTATACTGACGAGGCGAGACCTCGCCTGTGTTTGTGTCGTCCTTGTCTGATTCGTTGTTGTAGACCACAGTCGCGCCTCTCTTCACTCCGAGGCCCTCACGAATGGTCATGACTGTTATTTTCTTTTCAGCCGATAGCCTTGCGCCTATGCCATTCTTCACTGAGCCCACCCAGGTAATCGGCCCTCTCGTTTCAACCAGCTCTTTGAAACGCGACAGGTCCATTTAGGCGTGCGGTTAACAACCACGTTGTGTTGCCGTACGTCGTGATGTCTCATTCGGGCGAACTAATGTACTACAAAGACGAAGACTGGACCGTGCCTCGGCACCAGGGGGCTGAACCAGAACAGCACAGCAAGCTGAACAAGGCGTTTATAGAGTCGGGCCCGGTGTGCTGCATGGGGGGCCAGGACCTCGTCTATAGGCTGCACAGAAAGACAGATTGCTCGCAAATGCACACTGATGTCTTGGTCTTCTGTAGTCGGGCGTGAAGGACGCACATATATCAAGGGTCTCAGACCAAGACGCAGCCTCGAGCCCCGTAACGGTTAGTCCAGAAGAATCGTGCAGGTGCAGACCTCTATGCATTCATCTCCCATGTCCACTCAGGACCCCCCCCCCACGGCGTGTTTAGAATCGTCGTTCACTACTGCTGTCATTTTCTTTCATCTACGCTGCACCTGGAGAAGTTAAAACTTAGCGTCTCCAGACAAACGGAAGACGCGAGCTGCGAGAAAGGGTCAGGCTGCGTAGTCATAAGCCCAATACTTGTATCTATGTGTCTGAGGTTTTCATCCAACCTTACGTCAATGGTGCTACTACTTTCAACGGGGTATAGACCAATCGTTCATGTTTGTTGCCTACACAGATACACAGACGCGCGCGCTGCGCGTCTCTAGCCACACCTCTGTTTTCTGGCGTTCTGACGGCATACCTGATGGTGATACGCGACAGGTTCCTTCGGGGCGTAGCCGTGGTAGACCTGGACCCGAGCAACTTCGCGTACGCTGTTGCAGTGGCGCACCAAGTACTAGTTTCAGGAGTACCGCTTCCAGAGCTTACACCCCATTTCAACGCGTTGACCTTCCCGAGCGTCGTTAGCACTAAGATGGACGACAAGGCTCCTCCTACTGTGGGCAAGGGTGCGATCATAATGATCAACTCCCCCAAGTCGTTTGGAGGTATGGATATAGAGGATATTACGATGAAGGAGACCACAAGCGACTTCACACGTAGGCGGAGCGCCACCACGCGTTACTGGAAGGCCCCACTGAGGTTCAAGAAGAAAGGCAAGGTTGCAGACAGCCTCCACATCAGCAACATCAGGATTCCGTACTTTTAGCAGGAAAGTATGGAAGAGAAACCGATTGTTATTTCTACGCTTGATTTGACCTGTATTTCCGTGAGGGCATCACGAGAATCGTTAGACATAAGCTGCCCACGAACGACATTCCAGACCACCAGTGGCAACCTCGTGTCCACCCCTGAGGAATGGTGGCAGAACGTCAACCCCACAAATAAGACCATTGGCGTGCTTGGCGGGGACATCATGTTTCACCCCAACAACATCAGAGTACTTATGGATGCGACTGAGAGGGGTATAGTTGTCAACGGGGAGTTCTACTTCTTCGTTAAGTCCAGCAGGGAGCAAGACATGAAGATCCCACTCGAGGAGCGTGCCCCGTGAGGACCCTCCGACGGCGTCGTCATCGCGGGAGACGTCGTCAGAGCGTACATCAACACTGTGGTTGCAGACGTGAGGATGCAGGAGCGCAGGTCCACGACCTCTGAACTGGAGGCTACTAAACCCCACAAAATTGAGGTGACCCCAGACGCGGTGCTTGCCAAGCTCGCAGAGTTGGGTTTCTAACCATACGAGAGTGTTCAGTGTGAAGCATTGTGTTTCAAAACTTCGCAGCGCCGTTGCTTTATCCACCCACCACGACAGCCACGGACATGAATCTCCGAGTAGACAGGCACATCAGCCATCTCAATCTTTATTCCGTCTTTTTGCCTGTAGTCGGCGTCGAGGAAGACATGGCTAGGCACACGATCACTGCATCCTCGTGAACACTGCGGACATGGCCGAGCTGCTGAGAACCACCCTGTCCAAAGAGCCCGAGATATCCATATGTGTAGCCAAGCGTATATCGAAGCAGAACATTAAGACTGCAAGAAACATGCATTTACCTATAGTCCTCGCAGTTCTCTGCAGCTCGGACTACGAATTGAGCCACGAAACGTTCAAGCACGTTGACAGGGACTTTATGCTCAGTGTATGAAGCTTTATACACACACAGTCGGTGAGCTCGTCTACGTCACACTCAGCTCTGGTGAGGCGTCTGATGGGATCCAGGTCGCGCGAGGGATTCGAGTTCGTCACCCCCACAGTGGAGCAGTACTCCAGTCTGTCGTGCCTAGACGCTTGTGCTGGCGCGCTAGTCTAAGCGGCCCGTGGAAGTTCAGTAGCAGCTGCTTTGAGCTTTGTCACTCCACATACGGCGAGCTGAGGGTGGAGGACGCAGTTGCAAGTGCAGTTCTGAAAGGACGCGAGTCATGGGGGCGCAGAGGCTTGTGGGCCTATGTCTTGGAGGCTGAGAAGGAATGCCTCCCAGACGTCTGATTTCGAAACATTAACTATAGCTTTTCTGAACGATCTGCACACAGCTTGAACGTCAGACGGCCTTCCATGTACCCTGAACTTACCGTTGTTCATTGGTAGCACACACGTGCTCTTGTTTGGCGTAACATAAAAAGTGCCCGCGCGTGGCGCGCGGATGAGCTTGAACGATCTCATCGAGTCGTAGTCGGTCATCACGGCGTCTTCGCCTACGTGGTCCCTCCAACGATCTTCTTGCGTGCGACAAATAGCGGGTCTGGCAGTCATTCGTTAAAATGTACACGAACCATGTCCCCATCGCGTTGAGGTGGGACCACGCTGCCTCCTCCGTTAACCCGCACCGGTCAACAAGGTAAGGGACGATCCTTCCTGCTACCTTGCGTTTCCTCACGCACATGCTAGGCTTACTCATCTTTGCGTCGTTGTTCTCTCTCACCACGTTAGGATACTCTTCGAGAAGCTTGAAAAAGTGCCAGCGTCGAGGTAGACTGTGCATGTGACCATCTCAGGTTGCACGAAGGACAGTCTGAGCACGCCTCCGCTATCGTTAATCTACACGGCCATGGTGAACACCAACCTCGAGTCCGTGCCTGGCTCTGTTCTCTTACCACACAGTCCTGTCAGCACTCGTGTCAGCATCGTGATGGACGACGCGGGCAGAGCCGTCTGGTGGGTCGTATCATAGATACTGTCGCACTTGTCGTCTAGGAGGGACGCATCCGCCTTGTCCAACAACATGCGCAACGTCTCCCGGCTTCGCGCCCGTTACTTCGTGGTGTTCCCCGTTGAGTACATCGTGGTAGAAGCTGGCAACGCTGTTGCCAGCGTCGCACAGGGCGATGTCGTCCTCGTCTTCCGACTCGTTGCGCATCACGGACCTTGACGCTCAAGTCAATTGGCTGGCCAAGCTGTATGTGTCTAAAAAAGAAGGCGAGCATGTGCATAGGACGGCGAACAATATCAGGGATGCATCAGCGCACGCGGGCATAGAGACGCCAGTGATAGTGTTGATAGGCGTAAGGTCAGCTTCGGAAGACAT